TAATATTGGTTTGTAATGCGATGAAATCCCATCTTAGCATTTCTGCCTCTCGCAATTGCTGCGTATACTTATCGGAGAAGTTCTGTGGCGTGGTTATCAAATGAAAAAAAAATGGGAGTATTTTTTCTACTTCTCTACTACTATCAAACCTTGACATTTTGTGAAAACTTTTTTCCATGCAACCTTTTTTAAAACATCCCCAACAACCACAATTACTTCTGTTATTAAACTTCCGAAACAAACACATAAAATCATCAACAGATGAATATCACCAAGTAGATATTGCTGAATTGATCTTTATTTTACCATTTTGCATGTAATTCTTTTTGGTAAACCTGTTATCTATCGTAAATACAGCACATTTGACAATGTTGTAGTGTGACTATTTTAGCCTCACATTTTTGATATTTGTAGTTAGAGCTCTTGGGGCTCTGTCAAACAAAGTTACATACAAAATATTGGTTGTAAATTGCAAAACATGATCATGTTGTTGGAATAACTTGGCATTTTACCACCCGTATATCATTCATTGTTGAGAATATTAATAAAATCATAAAATTTAAAAATCCGTTTTCGTGAAATTTTTGTTGTAGCTGAATTCCAGGGACAGCATGACAACAGGCAAGAGAAGCACGGTCGCCTCTTTTAGTTTATGACAGGGTTTCTTGAAAGGGGACCCCGTCCTCCTTGGAGGCGCTGATCGGTTATCTGGGAGCACGAACAAACAGATGGAAATGCGAATATATAATAACAATGTATTTTTATAGAAGAGAAGAAGCAAAAGTGTTGAGAGTCTTTGGTAGTTTGAAAAGCATTGGCATGGAACATAAGAATGAACTACATTCTTTCCCAGGGATATACTATAAAATGTAGCAATTTTCTCATTCTTGTTCTCGTGATATCATTATCTTTCACTGCGTCGTCGTGATCATCCCGCTGCATAACAATTCTCGCCAACAAATAATTGACTGTTCTCCACCGGGTATTATCCACTTGAACCACTGGCGACTACATTAGCAGGCTTGTACTGTTAATTGCAACAAAAAACGGGTATTTTGAAATATACTTCTTTATTTTACGCGTATGTTTTCGACAGTATTTCCATATACTGTATACGGTCGCGACCCCAAAGCTGGGCTCAACAAATACCTAGAGGTATCGATTTTATTTCTAGTAAATTTGGTGCTTGCGTAGTTTGTGCACCAAGATTGCGCACAACTGAACATAGTATTGTAACAGGTTATGGTTTCAGGTTGTGCGTCATTATGATGCACAGGTTTGACAAAAAAAAACTAATACAAATATCGAGCCGTAAAAAAGTGCTCAAGGCGCAAACTCCACACCCATGTAGAAATGATGGGCAATGACCCCAAGATGAATAATCACAAATAAAAAAACTTTATGTCTGAAATCAAACTTGGGCCAAAAAGGTCCCCTTATCTGCCGGACTAAGACTTTGGATGGACTTTGGATAATGAGAAACAGGCATATTAATTTACGGTCCCCAATGAGTGTAGTGCCACATATACAAAGGCAAATATTTTACGGATTCTTGACATTCTATCCCTATAGTCGGATTCGGAAGACTTTTGACACAGGGGTACTCAGATTCTCAAAAAGGACAATGAAAATATTTGAGACAGACGTGTGAATAATTATGCACTACTTTAATGTGTGCTGTATTTGTGATTTCCATTTTACTCCCCTTTCTCTGCGCGACTATGGCATTTTACTTGTTCTGATTAAAATTTGGCTTTGTTTGGTGCCTATTTCAATTTTGAAAAGCGCTATAATTTTATAGAACACCCACGTTCTACCGAAGGACAAACGTTTTGACATATTGGGTTCCTATACATAGCCGTTGCTATCATTGTATTTAAAGTTTTTATACCTGCATACCTGCGTGCGAATGAATTCTTTTTTCGGGAGTTTGTCAGAAGATGCTTCTGTGCTGAGGAAATTGAATAGATCATTTCATAAACATTAAAAACGAAATTGACAATTACTCATATAATTTACCTATTGAGCTCATTGCTCATTACAATCATCCAATATGATTATAAGTTCTATTTAAAACGTAACGACAGATAGATGAGAGATGCATCCTGGAAATTAACTCAGGATTGTGAACGAATGCTTAATTATCGATTGCGCTTGAAGTCGAATCCATACCAAATTTCAACAGTTAGAAAATTGAAGAGCCTATAAATATGATCTTCTTTCATCCTTTTTCACATTTCCCCTGAATTACTTGGAGATCAAATACTATACCACTTCCTCCACTATGTCAAATTTCTGTTAACCAATTTTAGCGAGCGAGTGTTCAAAGATCGGTATGAAAACAGAAAACATTTTTCTTAATATTTCGCTGTTAGTGAACCGCAAGATGAAAAAGGTCTGGAAACATTGTAGTGGTATTAACATTTGAAGGATCTTAACATTGTTTAACGTCTTATGAATAAAGGTAGGACGAATACATAACGTACGGCAGGACATCAAATAACAAGGCTTTAGTTGTGTGGTACAAAAATACACTCATAGCGGACACACAGGCGTATTTATCACGATTGCATTATGGTCGCTATTATTAGGCAAGCTCTAGTTCGTGATTGGGAGGATGCAGTGACGTAATTTTTGGATGACGAAGTCAGGTGAGGGTCAGGAATCATATATACAAAAATTGTTACGCTAAGCCTAATAGAAGGTATTGAGGTATGAAACTACACCCATAGCGGACAGACAGGCGTATTTAACACGATTGCATTATGGTCGCTATTATTAGGCAAGCTCTATTTCGTTATTGTGAATTCGCATTGACGTAATTTTTTGATGACGAAGTCAGGGCGGGATCAGGAATATTATATGCAAAAACTGTTACGCTAAGTTAACTAGAAGTTATTGAGGTAAGAAACTACATCCATAGGTGCCATTACGAATAACGTCGCTATTATTGGGCAAGCTCTATTTCGTTATTGTGACGTTGCAGTGACGTAATTATTGGATGACAAAGTCGGGTGAGGGTCAGGAATATTATATACAAAAATTGTTACGCTAAGCCTAATAGAAGTTATTGAGGTACGAAACTACACCCATAGCGGACACACAGGCGTATTTATCACGATTGCATTATGGTCGCTATTATTAGGCAAGCTCTATTTCGTTATTGTGAATTCGCATTGACGTAATTTTTGGATGACGAAGTCAGGGCAGGGTCAGGAATATTATATGCAAAAATTGTTACGCTAAGTTAATTAGAAGTAATTGAGGTACGAAATTACATCCATCGGTGTCATTACTAGTAATCGTCGCTATTATTGGGCAAGCGTTATTTCGTGATTGTGACGTTGCAGTGGCGTAATTTTTGAATGACGAAGTCAGGTGAGGGTCAGGAATGATATATGCAAAAATTGTTACGCTAAGTTAACTAGAAGTTATTGAGGTAGGAAACTACATCCATAGGTGCCATTACGAATAACGTCGCTATTATTGAGCAAGCTCTATTTCGTTATTGTGACGTTGCCGTGACGTAATTTTTGGATGACGAAGTCAGGTGAAGGTCATGAATATTATATGCAAAAATTGTTACGCTAAGTTAACTAGAAGTTATTGAGGTAAGAAACTACATCCATAGCGGACACACAGACGTATTTATCACGATTGCATTATGGTTGCTATTATTAGGCAAGCTCTATTTCATTATTGTGAAGTCGCATTGACGTAATTTTTGGAACATGAAGTCAGGTGAGGGTCAGGAATATTATATGCAATAATTGTTACGCTAAGATAAGTATAAGTTATTGAGGTAAGAAACTACATCCATAGGTGGCATTACTAGTAATCGTCGCTATTATTGAGCAAGCTCTATTTCGTTATTGTGACGTTGCCGTGACGTAAATTTTGGATGACGAAGTCAGGTGAAGGTCATGAATATTATATGCAAAAATTGTTACGCTAAGATAACTAGAAGTTATTGAGGTAAGAAACTACATCCATAGCGGACACACAGACGTATTTATCACGATTGCATTATGGTCGCTATTATTGGGCAAGCTCTATTTCGTTATTGTGAATTCGCATTGACGTAATTTTTAGATGACGAAGTCAGGGCAAGGTCAGGAATGATATATGCAAAAATTGTTACGCTAAGATAAGTATAAGTTATTGAGGTAAGAAACTACATCCATTGCGCTAAGGCAAATAATATGTCGGTTTCTGCTTGTCTAAAGCCGTGCATAGAGTGAAAGCGTTCTACGTCCTATTAATAAAATGTGGCACAATACATGATCAGTCTCTGGATATTAAATAACAAGTCTTTATGTCTGCGGTACCCAACCTCAATCATTGCGTGAATTAAATGTTCTTTCTGTTTGTCTAAAGCCTTGTTTAGAGCGGTATTGTATACCCCCCTATTAATAGATCGTAGCACAATACATGAGCTATTGCTGGAGCTGGACAAAAAATAACAAGTCTTTATGTGTGTGGTACCCAACTTCAACCATAGCGTAAAATAACATGTGTTTTCTGCTTGTCTAAAGCCTTGGTTAGAGCTGTATCGTATAACGCTCTATTTCTGGACAGAAATTGGTCAGAATGGGATATCGTGAACGTTCCTTGGCGACAATTTAGTCGCTTCTGATGCTTGTTCATTTTGAGCTCTGCACAACGACCCCGATAAGAGAGAGGTCGGTGACGTATTGAGTTTGTTGACATACTCGTAGGCGCCATTACGGGTGACCGTCGCTAAACTTTGGCAAGCTGTATTTCGTTATTGTGACGTCGCAGTGACGTAATTTGGATGACGTCATTTTGGATGACGTCATCAGGTGGGGGTCAGGAATCATATATCCAAAAATTATTACGCCACGCCCACTAGAAGTTATTCAGGTAAGAAAGTACATGAGACCCCAGTGCACTACTAGGTTCCATATCCAATCATCAGATAATGTTAACAGGTTAAAGTAGACTACTCTTATGAAATAATGTCTATATTTCAATAACAAGTGTGGTAACGTACAGAAACAACCTTTGGTATCGTGCAATTCTTATTGGCTTTCTTTTGCTGACTTGAACTACTCCAAGATTTGCATCAGCCAATTTTCTACAATATTTCGTTCCCTTGGATATTGCTTGGACCCCAACATACCTGCGTGCGAATGAATTCTCTCTTCATTTAAAAATGGCGACAATTTTTTACGAATGCATGAGTGGAATATTCAGTTCTTCATGTTATTTTGTGATCTATGGATTCTTGGTTTACGTCACAATTCCGCTGATTTTCAAGATTTATCCAAAAATCGTCTTTGAAGGATTATTTCTCAACAGAGTCTGCCCACCTGTATGGTTACTGAAGCTGAACAAACCAGACAAAGTAAGACTTCCTACAAGACGTTTGTATGAGTGAGTGCTTCTGAGCCCATAACTTTGCTCAGAGATGAGTCTCCTTATCTGAGTGTGTGCGACTAATTTTGCTCAGAGATGAGTCTTCTTTACTTCTGAGTGACTATATCTGTAAATTAGCTCAGAGATGAGTCTCTTTCACTTATGAGTGCCTGTAACATTGCTCAGAGATGAGTCTTCTGTACTTATGAGTGCCTGTAACATTGCTCAGAGACAAGTCTCTTTTACTTCTGAGTGAGTTCGTGTAACTTTTCTCAGAGATAAGTCTCCTTTGCTTTTGAGTGAGTGCCCGTAACTTTGCTCAGATATGAGTCTCTTTTACTTTTGAGTGAGTGCCCGTAACTTTGTTCAGATATTAGTCTCTTTTACTTCTGAGTAAGTGACCTTAATAACTCCGATCAGTAATATGTCCCTTCACTTATGAGTAAATGCACTGAACCTTGCTTCAACCAGATACCCTTATTATAGTGATCAATTCCTAACTCTAAATTCTCTTCTTTTACTTCAGGCCTACAATCTTAAAGAGAGCAAGAACTGCTATGTGAAGTCTTCGAGTGGAAGTACTTTAGGCGTTTGGCATATTCCGCCAGTTCCTCAGTACGATACTCCAGAGGTCAAATCAGGGTCATTACAAGACGCTGAGAAAATCGTCATTTATTGCCATGGCAACTCGTTTCATCGTGGTTTCAAGCATCGAAGAGATTTATATTCAGAGCTGCAGAAATCAGGTATGACTAATATGGTCGATTTCATTTTGTCAAACTCAAAGGTACTCGGAGCCGCAACATCTACTCTAATGTCAGTGGCTATCAAAACTACCGGAAAACCACTTATGATGCAATAATTCAGTTTACGACAAAATAAAAATAATTTTAAATTAAAAAGAAAAAGTTTGTTTTAACAGATTTAAATCACTTTGATGCGACCTATTGTACCGCTCACGACTTATACCTGTTGTCATGTGTAATTAGTGAGTAGTAATAGACTTTATGTCTCCGACTTTCATTGAATCCCCACTGCTTCTAACAAAAACGGCTGTTGCCACTTTGATTCACGGAAGCCAGAGCTCCGAAAACAAAGAGTCGTATGCTGCTGATCGCTGGTCTACCCTAACTAATTGTGAGACAGAGTTGGTGAATTAGTTAGAACTAGAATATGACATCATAAGTGGTTTTTCGATAGTTCTAATAGTATCTGACATTAGAGTACATGTTGCGGCTCGAGTAGGTTTGAGTTTGGTATAGACCAGGGGTGGGCAAGTTTTTTGGACCTGGGGCCTAAATTTTGCCCATCTACACTGACGGGCCATGTAAGTGTGACGTAAATGTTACATTTTATGAACAATATATACAGTGTTACAAAAGTGAAAAACAATAAGCCTCGTGCCAAAACTACATTTAATCTCAACAAATTCCTATTTTTCGCTAGAACATCAAAATTTGGTTTTATATCAGTTGTGGCAGCATCAGGCAGGCCAGATTGAATAACACAACGGGCCAGATTTGGTTTGCGTAGTTTGCCCATGTCAGGTGTAGACGATGCCATATGGCTCTTTTAATGCCAAAGGTTGCCAAATCGTGGCTTAGTCCAGGGCTAATCAACTATTTTTTTTAAATTATTTGGGTTCGATCTTTACAGAAATTATATTTCGGCATCCTTAAACGCACACTTCCTCGGCCGGCTAATGATTATTAGCAAATCAAGATTGTTTATTATGATGTTATAGTTATTTTCAAAAATATAAAAGTCATTTCATAAAAGAAAACTTCAAAAGCGGGGCTAATAATTCAAAATAAAGAATTAGGTGCGGTGCGAATCCATCGAAAGGTCAGGATTCGGACCACGGTCCGCCAGTTGAGTAGCTCTGGCCTAGACCATCCCACTCACTATTTATTGTTATTGGACACGTCAGTGGACATAACGATCGTTTCAATATTATGTTGTTAATTTTCCTCATCATTATCATTAAAAAATCGCTTTTCTCTTCGAATACTGGATCAATTGCTTTGAAATTTTCAGTGGTTAAAGATTGATTTTTTTGCCAGAAGGCTATTACTTTTATTTATTCCCAAATTTTCTATGGATCTTATGAGATCTAATATTTCATCCGAAATTGCGCTGTATTAGTTTTTAATTATGGGAACACGGTTTTAAATTCACCAAGCGTGACGGCTGACTGTGAAAATTCTTGCGACTGAAAACTCGGGAAGTATTTTGAGGGTACGGTATCAATAACGTCAAAGGTAGGAACTGCCTCGCTCTAGTCCACGTGTCCATATTTGAGCGTTGCTCTCTTGTTGTATCAATCTGCTCATTCGCACAAATAAAATCTCTTCCATTTTCGCCAAGGATTCCACATCATAGCTTTTGACTACAGTGGGTTTGCGGACTCTACCGGTCAGCCGAGCCCAACAAGAGTCGTGGAGGATGCAATTAGCGTGTAAAAGTGGACGGTCAAGCAGGTTGGATTATGTTTTGTCATATTTGTCTCAGGGGTGAAAAAAGCCAATAAGACTGCTTATTAATCATATGGCTAATATCAGCAAAGCAGAGGTATACCATATATAAATTGTATATAAGCACAGTTTAAACTAAAAAAAAAGTTCCCAAACTAAAGGGTTGGCTTATATGCGCCTCACTCTAATCGCACTAAATTTCGGCTTCATAAGCGCAAAACCCTGATTTTGCGGGGGTTAGGGATGCCACTTTTGGATTTACGAATCGGATCGATTCGAATCGCATCTTTTTCGAATCGATTCGAATCAGATTTACGCGATTCGGAAAAAGAGAGCGATTTACCGAAAAAAAAACATTGAACGTTTGTTAAGTCGTGATTTTCGGCGGCTTTAAATCTGCCGAATGCGTTCATGCGGCACTCCAAATAACATCAAATAACGATACCGAAAAAAAAACATTGAACGTTTGTTAATCGTTGTTTTCGGCGGTGTTAAAACAACCGAATGCGTTTATGCGGCACTACAAATAACACCAAATTACGAGACCGAAAAAAAACATTGAACGTTTGTTTATCGTTGTTTTCGGCGGCGTTAAAACTGCCGAATGCATTTATGCGGCACTCCAAATAACACCAAATTATGAGACCGAAAAAAAAACATTGAATGTTTGTTAATCGTTATTTTCGGCGGCGTTGAAAGTGCCGAATGCATTTATGCGGCAGTCCAAATAACACCAAACTACGGGACGAAAATAAATGAAAATAAAGTTTTCGTGATTGACTTTTTTACTTATCTGCCGTCATTTGTTTCAAGTTCGGCACAACACATTCTTTTACGCTTCACTCGAGATGATGTGTGGCACAAATATAATTCAGTAACATTTCGTCTGACCGGTATGTTAGTCGTTGGTCTGACCAAGGTCAAACTTCCTCAGACATACATAGTTCAACTAGAACAAGAATAGCAATTGTATAATTTAACATTTTTGCTTCAGTTGAAATATGTATGTCTGAGGAAGTTTGACATTGGTCAGACGAAACGTTACAGAAATATATTTGTGTTAGTGTGCAGCAAGACTATTTATTGAATTACTCAGGATATGTAGATATTGCTCTTGACTAGAGAGAGTATAAACTACGAAATAGAGTTGTTGTTCAGCTTTTCGTGTTACGAGTATTCCGTGTTTTTTTTCAATTCTGTTGATTGGGGTTCCATAAAAAACGAAAAAGTTATATCAGGGGTTCCACAATAACAAAAAGGTTGAAGAGCACTGGCGTACAACTATTACTGAATCATCGGCCGGCAATGTTAATTGACAATCATGTTTCTCATCCTAAAATATAAATTTATTTTGTTTGCGTTTGTCAGGCTTCCACTCGAGTGGCGATAAACGAAATCAGGGGGACAAACTGTAATAGTACATACACGTCTTTTTTCAGCTGTTACAAAAAAAGTAGTATTTACTTTTAATTTTGTTAGTGCGATACAAGCGGGAATAAAACATTTCGCATACTGTGCGAATGTCGTCTTACTTCAGCCCCAGCGACCATGTTTGTTCGAGATAAAGCGTCGACCAATTATTGTTCGTCAGCGCGGCGTCCATTATGTACATTTGTACTTTCTGAATTACGAAATTAAACGTAGTCCATGATAATAAAGAAACCCGAGTTAGCCAATAACGCTGTTAGCCACAAATAATATTTTCTCTAATATTTATGGAAATTTTTGTTCGCAATCGTATTCGGGTGAACGATTGTTTTCCTCGAAATTAATGTAATTTAATCGTGGTTAATTTTATCGACTTCAATCATATTCTTGCAAGCATTTCCCATTTATAGTAATTCAGATGCAATTAGAATGTTTTTGTCGTATTACGCTATGCTGTTAGCATAAATATGAAATATTGTACTAAAATTTTAAAGATAAAGAACCGGTAATAAGGCTGGCCTTAATTCAATATAACAAGAAGTGAAATCCACATTCACATATACTGGTGTGGGACTAGGGAAAGCAGTGCTGTTAGTGTGTTTATGGCATAACAGCACAAGTATTCCCTGCTTATTTTCTCATATTAATTCCATTGCCTCAGTCCTGATACAAGTATACCACAATAATACCTCAGTATTGTAACGTAAGACTCACAGATACGTTGCAATAGCAAGTTTTTTATCAATGCATTCAGATGCATCAATGCATCTATGACACACATCTTTTTTATCATGATGGAAATAAGTGTGACTTATTCACTGAAAAACTCTTGTCATCCTTGCTATATAGCTTATTCCATTTTCAAGTTTTTCTCTTCTAGATTTGAGCTTTTTTGTGACGCATGCAATAAAAAAAAGCTTAATGGAATCAGATTCGGAAAGATTCGATTCGAAAACTTTTGATTCGAGATTCGATTCGAAAAAAAATGTATCCAGAAGTGGCAACCCTAGCGGGGGTCAACTTATTCCTGCATAACACAGTTGCCTGTCAATAGGGAAATCCCCGTTTATGTTATTCCCCTGATTACCAAGTTAAAAAAATCGAATTAGTAATTGTCAAATTTCTGACACTTAATGTATTTAATCACCCAGCTCCAGTAAGAAGATGTGACAATCGTGCTTTGGGGTCATTCACTCGGCACTTACATCAGCACAAGGGCGCTATTGCTCATGTACGACCAGAAAGATGGCACTCGACTCCCTGACTGTCTGATACTTGAAGCTCCGTTCACGAATACATACGATGCCGCAGACTGCTTTCCACTATCTAAGGTGAAATTTATATTTTGTTTCATTTCGGTACTCCCGTAGCATGTGAACCAAAATGGCGTACATCTGAACGAAGTATGTGTACCAGGTTAGGTTTAGGCAATGATTTCAGGTACAAATACTACGAAGTCGCTTGGCTAGTCCCCAAACTCGTAATAGAACTAAAATAAGGAAAATTGGAATAAAATTATGGACTAACCCTAACCTGGTACACATACTACGTTCTGGTGTCCGCCATCTTGGTACACATACTACGGGAGTATGTTCATTTCAATGATGTGATATGGTATTATATGATGCTTATTAATGCTTTTTTCACGTGCAAGGCCAGGCACCAGTAGCAACAGATACTCGTATCTAACGATATGCAAGTATATACTATGTTTTGGAAGGGCTGAAATCTTTCCAGTTTGGTCCTTGTTAACAGAATGCTGTTAATTTTTGCGAACACTTATTAACTAGTTGCTGATCACTCTTTGGGGACCTCTGTACTATGCCATTGTGGTAGTGCGCCAAGACTTTTGAATTGAATAACATCTAAAAATTGTATTTATTACATTGCTTTTTCAGTATTTCTATCTGCTCTATCCCTTCATGAGGTCTCAAGTTCACAAGAATATCAAACAATATGACGTAGAGCTCAGGACGGAGAAGTATCTGCCGACAATAAAGGCTCCTGTTATAATCATACATGCTAAAGATGATCAGAGGTATGTAGGCAGAAATATTTGAAACTGCTTGCCAGTTGGTGTATCGTCCTAAGCGTAATTAACACGCTTACGTGGCGCCCTTCAAGAGTTCACAGGTTCAAAACATGTTATTTATGAGATGGCTTGCGGAACTGTTTACTGTCGTAAGATGGTTCATGTAACCTCTATCATCAAGTTATGTCTCGTAAATTCATCATCTAACATTTACAATATTTACCGGTACGGTCTTACAGTACGGTATTTAATATAAGTTTATTTTGACTCCTCAGCATAACAAGCGCTATAATACCCTAATTGTCAGATTGATTTAAACAAAATAAATACCCGATTAGCTTCTTTTTCGGCTTTTATGACATCATAAGTAAACCGCGTATTTGACCCATGCGAGGTGAAGTCTGCGCAATTATGAAGTATGTAGGACTACTTGTAAGTATAATATTCGCATTTTAAGTGGATTTTTCTTTTCTGTCAACCTATTCTTGAGCAGATATATTGCAGCAAGTTGCATAATGATTGCACAACTTTAAAAAAAATCGAAAGTTGGGGAAGGGGGAGGATCGATCGCCCCAATTTTCTTGTCCCCAAAAGTATAATAAAATGTCATCCATGCATTGGAAAACAAATAACTGGCTAAACAATCTCATGACCGACAAGGACTGGTAATCGGACGAGAGGCCGCGGTTCGCTATATGATTAAGCTGTCCTAGCGGCTTTTCTCTCCCCCGGGATAAATATGTAAATCCTACCCTTTACTCTCTATTGATATCTCTTCAAAATTTTCCATGCTTAAAGCAAGCCAGGTTCTGTAAAAGGGTATTCCTGTAGTATGTGTACCAGGTTAGGGCACAATTTCATTCTGATTTTCTTAATTTAGTTCTATTACGTGTTCGGGGACTGTTTGTGTCAGCCAAGTAAATATATCCTCTGCCCATAGGTTTCAGTCCCTTTATACAACTTGATGTCAAGTAGATGAACAAAATTAGTTACCTCCATTTTGGTACACATACTTCTGGAGCGCTTCCCGAAGACACATTTATTCATGTCTTAGCTAGTATGGTCAACTTCGTTACACGTCTCTCAAATCAAGTCAAACGATTTCCAATGACTCTGGCTTCGATTACAAGAAAACTGGTCGCCCTTTGACACATTTCTGGAGCGCCCTGTAAAAGCAATACCTGCATGGTGTTGATGCAACCTTAATGCAAAGTTTAGTTGGTAGGCCCTATTAGCTTCGCTTCCTAATCGATTCGGATTCGCTTTCTTTTGAAATAGAAAAATCCAATTCTCAAACCAATTATTCCATTCCTTACAGAATCGACATTCATCTCGGTGAGACTCTGTACGAAAAGACGACATCTGACCCCATGACAAAATCTCCTCACATTCGTTTCATTCGAATGCACAAGGATTACGGAGTGAAACACTACACTGCTAAGCACCCTGAGATAAGGCAGTTAGTGCATGATTTCATGGCTGAGGTAGCAAAGGTCAAAGGTGATCAGGAACAAGGAAGTAAAAATGGATTTGAATTGATCGATATTTAATTTTTCTTTTTTTGCTGTTCAATTAGGCAATGAATATAATTGCTTTGGTCGAGTAGCAAAGATCAAAGGTTATCAGGAACAAAACTGATTAAAGATTTAATTTTTTTATTATTAACCTTTATTATGTTAAGGAGACAAATAGAGCTAAATTGAACTTGCATTCCTGGAATTTAGATAAACTCTCAGCATTGTTTTCTTCTGGAGAAATCTAATTATCAAATTTCTGACGCTTTATTTAATTTTCCAGCTCCAGAAAGAAGACGTGACAATCGTGCTCTGGGGTCATTCACTCGGCACGTACATCAGCACGAGGACGCTATCGCTTATGTACGACCAGAAAGATGGCACTCGACTCCCCGACTGTCTGATACTTGAAGCTCCGTTCACGAATACATACGATGCCGCAGACTGCTTTCCACTTTGTAAGGTGAGATTTTTGTTTCATTCAGGTACTCCCGTAGTATGTGAACCAAGATGGCGGACATCTAAACGTATTATGTGTACCAGGTTAGAATTAAGCTATAAATTCAGATACATATATTACGGGTATCACTTGGCTAGTCTTCGAACTCCGAAACCGAAAGGAAAATTGGGATAAAATTATGGCATAACCCTAACCATGTATACATACTACGTTCCGGTGTCCACCATCTTGGTTCACATACTTGGGAAGTATCTTAATTTCTATGATGTGATATAGTATTATACGATGCTTATCAACGCTTTTTCTTACTGTACAAAGCCCGGCATCAGTATCAACTGAAATCTAACGATATGTAAGGATATACTATATATTAGAAAGGCTAAAATCTTTCCAGTTCGGCACTTGCTACTTAACAGAATTTTGTTAATTTTTGCTGCACACTTATTAACTAGTCGCTGATCACTCTTTGGGGACCTCTGTACTATGCCATTGTGGTAGTGCGCCAAGACTTTTGAATTGAATTACATTTAAAAAATTGTATTTATTACATCTCTCTTTCAGTATTTCTATTTGCTCTATCCCTTCATGAGGTCTCAAGTTCACAAGAATATCAAACAATATGACATTGAGCTCAGGACTGAGAAGTATCTGCCGACAATAAAGGCTCCTGTTATGATTTTACATGCGAAAGATGATCAGAGGTTTGTAGGCATGAATATTCGAAAATTATGGCTTGTCAGTTGGTGTATCGTCCTAAGCGTAAGTAACACGCTTACGTGGAGCCCTTCAAGAGTTCACAGGTTCAAAACATGTTATTTTTGAGAATATGGCTTGCGGAACTGTTTTCTGTCGTAAGGTGATCCACGTATCTTTCGTCATCAAGTTCATGTCTCTGAAATCCACCATCTAACATTCACCGGTACGGTATTACAGTACAGTGATTAATAATAGTTTCAACTCCTCAACATAACAAATATCATATTTGACAGATTGATAAAAAACAAATAGATAACCGATTAGCAGCATGTCTAAGCATCTGGAAACAAATAACTGGCTAACTATACTCATACCCGACATGAACTGTTAATCGTGGTTCATCATATGATTAATAAGCTGTCTTAGCGGCTTTTTCCCCCCGAGATAAATATGTAAATCTTATCCTCCGCTTTCTATTGATAACTCTTCAGAATTTCCCATGCTTAAAGCAAGCCAGGGACTGTAAAATGATACTCTTGTATTGTGTGTTAGGCCATAATTTTATACCAATTTTTCTTATTTTAGTTCTATTACGAGTTCAGGAACTGTTTGTGTTAGCCAAGTGAATATAACCCCCTGCCCATACGTTTAAGTCCCTTTACACAACTTGATGTAAAGTAGGCGAACAAAATTAGTTGGTACACACACTGCTGGAGTGTCCTGTAAAAGCAATATTTGCATGGTGTTGATGCAACATGAATGCAAAATCTAGTTGGAAGGCTTTATTAGCTTCGTTTTCTGATCGAATTCGATTTCTTTTTAAATATGAAATTCAATTCTCAAACCGAAATTTTTTATTCTTTACAGAATGGACATTCATCTAGGCGAGACTTTGTACAAGAAGACGACCTCTGACCTCACGACAAAATCTTCTTACATTCGCTTCATTCGAATGCAGTGAAGCACTATACTGCTAAGCATCCTGAGATAAGGCAGTTAGTGCATGATTTCATGGTTGAAGTAGCAAAGGTCAAAGGTGATCAGGAACAAAGATGTAAAAATAGATTTGAACTGCGGCCCACGGGCCAGTTACGGCTAACCGAAGTGTTTCATCCGGCCCACTTGTGCCTATATCAATTATGACTATGGTTTTCATGGCTATAAATTTGCGTTGGATCGATGAAAATAACGAATCATCGCCTAAAATATAGATCACATATTATTTGCACCTGAATAGAATTGTGCCACTTGGTACACTGGCTGTTTGTTGTACATTAGCTGTTATGCTTGTTATTTGCAAATGAAATGTTTTGAGTCTCCAGTGACCAAATCTATTATTTGTAACTGGCCCACTGAGAAAAATAATTGCCCGCCCCTGACTTAGAATATCATTTCATATTGGTCAAAGTAACTTAATTAATCATAGTCTATTATTATGTGTACCAGGTTAGGGTCAGGCCATAATTTCAGGTACAAATGCTATGGGATTCACTTGTCTAGTTCTCGAATTCGTAATAGAACTAAAATAAGGAAAATTGGAATAAAATTATGGCCTAACCCTTTCCTGGTACACATACTCCGGGAGTACCCTATTTTCCTGTGAAGTTACAAAGGACAACTACTGTTATTAACGCCCAGCATTATAACCGTTCATGTTCATTCACTCACTACACTGTGGGGTATCTATTGATTTTAAATCAAACTTAGCTTCCCCATTGTTCTGGCACTGTCCCAATTTCATTTATATCTCTCTATCGCAAACAGACCCAACATTTGAAACCAATATTTATGTGCATGCAATTGTGTTTCTTGTTATAGTTGTAAAATGCTTGTCTGAAGAAGTCTGACCTCGGTCAGACGAAACGTTACAGAAATATATTTGTGTTCGTGTGCAGCAAGACTTTTGAATAAAATAGAATAGCCATTTACACTCTTGCTACAGCATCCTTGCGTAATACGCATACGGATCCACCTGCGCAAAGGCATAGAGAGCAAGGAAAGGTAGTTAGTTTCACGCACAACCTCAACTGTTAGTCACTTCCCAAACTTCAAGCTGTGTTTCCAGAAATTTTTTAGGCTTTATTTCTATAATTAAATCTTTATTATTTGATTGTAGTTTATATTCTCATTCTTTACTGTGTATTTATTACTCAAGAATGGTGCCAATGGTCAGAATTAACAAGTTACAAATATGCTCGAAATAGAGTCGAATTACTCAACCAAAGTGGAAAGAGTAGTCAAAGTGGAAAGAGTAGTGATAGCAGAGTTGCAAGTTTGCTCAAATCAAAGTCCCAAACTCTCAACTTATAAAAGAGTCCCTGTCACAAATATGTAGCGGTTCATGTGTAACTTGAAACAAGATATAGCAGTACGGTCAGAAAATAGATATTGCCATATTTCAATTACTGCCTTGTTGCCACATTTCGGTATTCTTTTTTTAATATTGGGTCAAATATTTTGGGCTACGTGAATTATTCCAACTCTTCACCCCATAACGTCAAAAGTTTGAGAACTTTTGGTTTAACATATGCTCTTTGTGTGACAGAGGCCATTTGGAACTCTTTTATCAGCACCTTGCTATAAAAGCACTGTATATGTTTAAATATGCAATTGTTTTATCATAATTGTTGATTTGATTTCAATTCTTTTATAACAATTCTACCTCATTTAATCCACTGAGACAAATAAACTTTGCATTACATTGCAGTATTATTTTCCGAGCTACTGATCTTATCCACCAAAAAAAAAAACTCAAGGGTGTTTTTGAAAGACTAACTTCGGAGCTAGGTTTCAGGGATGCCCGAAATGAATCGAATACATTCGTGATTCGATTTAATAAATTCATGATTTTAGAAATAATTTAGAGTATTTCACTTGTAAATATCTTACTTGTAAATATCTTCTTCAGCATGCATTATTTTATGACGAACATAACTCACAGAAAAAAAATAGTTAATTTCTGAAAGAATATAATGGAGAATACTTCTTGAATCAATGTTCATCTCAGTTACTCTGCATAACCGAATTCGAATTATATGAATTAACAATTGCCTTGAAGAATTTCTTCTGTGAAACAGACCCATTAAATTATAACTACAAAAACCAAGGATGGATGAACATAAAATTATGCAAAGAAGTTGTTGGCTCAGAAAACTAAAGATGAAATTGAAGCAGGGTTTCTATGCTTATGTGGGGCGTATAGAAATATTGAAGATGAGTATCCTAGGCAAGTGGTCGGGCAACCTTTTTTAAATGACGAACCGGTAAAGCCTGGCGGACCCTCTTTGTACAAACGAACTAAGCTTATGTAATAAATTACACGCAGTAAAAAAATTTCAAAAACATAAGTGATGATATTCAATGCGAGATTTGCGTTTGCTTGTTGGTCATTAATTAAATGTTACAAATTTGGTGACATGGTCGACAGTGATACACATAATAGTTTCTTACGTTTACCCTACTTTAGTTGTCAATATTAAAAATAACGACCGCACAAAGAAAAAGGTATCACAAGGACACTTTTCAACTCGTTATCATTTGAAATTTCAATCAAGTGCACTATATAAGTCTTATAAGACAATCTCATAGTTCGAAGAAGTTTCGAAGGCTTCGTTTGAGAGCTTAGTATGGCAAACTGGACAAATTTCATTGCTGTGACTTACGGCTATAAATCCATATTGAAAATACGGATTTTTTGCTGTAGATGACCCGCTATATCTACGCTCCCGGTTACGTTAGATATTGGCACGCAGTCATTCAAAAATTGCATTATTGATGTTTGTTAAGCCATACCTGATTTTATTACGAGATGTGCTAACTTTATGATCATAAAGTATAGATTTAGCAAAGTCTAAACAGCGAGTTGGGTGCTGTTTTGCCTATAATACAAGTGGGGATGGCTAAACTAAATTATTCATCTAAGTCATTGCTAGCATGATTATCCCGTGCTCTTGTCACATATATTTAAGCTACTAATTACCCATTAACAAAAGGATGAGATGTTCACAATTGTCGCAAGGGAAATTTTATTCAATATTGCTAACTGAATACCATTGTAATTTTGTTCAATATGACAAAATCTACTCTAGATTTACGGTAACCCCCACAGGAAAGCAAACTAGTCATAGAGTATAATAACATTGAACAATCAGGGGAGACTTCAAGTATATTATACTTGGGTGTGGAATTTGAACAATAATACACTAACTTTGTTAACCATAGTTTACAAAAATAATAAATGAATGTGAAATAATGTGTCGCTCAGCCAGAAGAGCCGCAGCTAACTTGTTCCATAAATGAAGTCGACTTGTAACCGAACGAGAGGCCGTGGTTCGTTATATGATTTAGGGATAAGTATGTAAAACCATGAACTCCAGGGTAATCAAACTTCTGTGAAAGTGAACAACAAAAATTTGGGCATATGCAGCCCAATGCAGGCATTCTTCAATGGTTATGGCTTTTTAGGTTTCAGTTGGAAATCTTGACTTCGATCACCGCCATTAGGTGCATAAAACTCCAATGAATTCAAGACTTCTACTTTGGTTGGACTACAGTACGTGGAATTCAAAACTGCGACTTCAGCTTCCAATCCAATATCAATAAAAAACCAAACTTCCGAAAACACACCAGCTTACTTTTGACATCTAATACGATTTTGAATACTCAATTCCTTCCAATAACTCTCACCCACAACACAAAAAACCAATTGAACACACTAAAATCAACTTCCAAGATGTGCGATACATAAATATATAGTGCAATTTAAAGTGGACAGTAGAATTTGAGAATGGCTGGAATATATGGTAGTGAATTTGGGTTCGCAATACATCTGAAAATTTACAGAGTTTCAAACCAATCACATCCATGAACAAGTGATCCGACAATGCACTGACAACAACTTCCAAATATATCACAAGAGTATGTTTTTTTGTCAGTGTGAATCTTATATGCTTTTCAAAGTATTCTATGTCACAAAACTATTTCCACATATTTCACATGGGTGTTGTTTTTCGCCAGTCTAGACTTTCATATGCTTCTACAAATTATTCAATCTTGTGGCAACCGCTTCATGAAATTCAATAATTATCAAAATTCATACCAGAGAAAAGTTATATAAAACATGTGATAGGAGTTTTGTAGCTAAAATGGAAGTTGAATAAACATATGCAAGCTAACACTGGAGAAAATCCATATTCTTGTAAACTATGTGGCAAATATTTTGTGCGATTTAGTAATTAAGATTGAAATATCCAATATATGTGAAGAATTATAAATTCCTGTGAAATATGTGGGATTGACCTTGTAAATGCAAGTGGCCACAAGAATGTGGTTTGTCGCCAGTGTGGACTCCCATATGCTTTCTCAAATTCCTTAATCTTGCAAAAGTCGTTCTACATATTCCACAATAGTATGGTTTTTCGGAAGTGTGAATTCACATATAATTTCAAAGTACTTGGTGTTGCAAAACTATTTCCACATATAAAAGAGTATCGTATTTCTCCATTCATAACACACGATTCTACAAAATTATTACGAGAGTATTGTTTATCCTTGTATGATTTTTCAACATAATTGATTCTTTAAAACAATTTTCCAAGAGTGTGTTTTTTTGTCAATGTGGATTCTCCTATGCTGTTTCCAACTATTTTCCACATAATTCACAAGAACCATGTCTAATGGTGCTAAAAGTATGTTATCGCTCCATGAAAGGAAACCATTATTTAGATGCCAATTTACTATTACAGAATACTGGAATCAAATCCAAACTAACGAATATTATTCTATTTTCAGTCGCGGAGATCTAGTAAATGTTGCAGCCACGTTTGGACATTTTCACGAGAACCAATCAGATGCTTTTACAATATCATGTGCATTAGCAAAACACATGTATGACCTCACGACGAAGAAGAGCCATACTCTATAACAGCATGTGTCAAATATTTTCTGTTTCAGTAATTTGAATGAACGTACGCAAAAGAGAAAAAATGTTTCACAGCTGCGGGAAGTTTGTGGCAAACGTTATATGCAATACAATATTATATGCAATATTCATCAAAATTTAAAATATAAAAACTAACTGCAGAAAAGCCATATTCTTGTTATTAATGTGGCAAATGTTTCGCTTGTTTTAATAATTTGGACTGGCGTATGCGAACACATTGATATTGTGATAATTAATATATGTTTTATGTCTTTTGGAAGAGAGATTCTTTATTACAGAACATTTGTTTCAAATCCGAAATATGTTTTTCTTTATTTACAGTGATTATTTAAAAATTTTAAAGGGTGTTTGAACACTTGAAACACATGTGCATGTAGTATTGAAGAAACGCATAATCTTATGGAATATGTAGACATATACGATGTCACATAAGAAAATGCATTGCAAACTATTTCCACATATTTCGGCTGTGTGAACTCTCATATGATCATTCTTACGCGCATGACTCTTAGACTTTCATATGAATTTTTATGGTTTTTGACGCCGCAAAAATTTCTCACATATTTCCCAAGATTGCGGAATCGCTTAATGTTGCAAAACTAATAAAATATCACAAAAGTAGTTTACTCTTTCAAAAACATGCCGAATCCATCTACAGCCATCTAGTAAATGGTGTGGACACTTATTCAGATTTTGGACATCCAGGAATTAATATAATTAAATTATATATGCAATATATGACGTTACTGAATAGACCAAGCGTATGACATAACATGTGCACATTAACAAAACACCTATACAAACTCACGCTAAGGAAAAGTTTGTATATATATCATGTGAGAAATGGGTTTTACATATTCCAGTACTTTAAATATACATATGTATATTCACACCAGAACTCAAACAGATTGAAAGGG